TAAAGCATGGGCAGGTTGGAAAGGGGGGATAGAATATTTCAAATAACCTGAGCTTGAGCTGTTATAGGGTTTGATAAGTCAAAACCAGAACTTTAAATTGTGCTTAGTAATTGGTCGACACCTAGAAAAGCTATTGCAGCAAAAGAGTTGTGTCCACTTGTATCTCCTCAGTTTGCAATCTGGCCACAGCTCTTTGGGCTAGTTGGAGTTTTCAAAGAGATTAAGATCTTTCAGGGAAGCCCTGCTCTTGGTCCCACCACCGTCACAGGCACAATTGGCAGAGATGAGAGGGCCTTCTCAGTGATTTGTCACACTTTCATGGGGTTTCTGCACCCCTAACCTCAGCAAACTATGAGTTTCAATATCAGATCAAAAATCAAGAATTCCAAAAGATGCGCTAGCAACCAATGTGAATCCTAAGTCGAAAACTGGTCCCCACCTTGGACACAAGAAGTCTGCCTTGTAGACTTATAATGAAGGTTTGTGATTTTTGTACAGCTATAGAATGGGAAGAGTGGCTCACTGAGCTGATATAATGAAGACTGCAATGCATTCTACGCAAGGTGCATAAATGGCACATTTAAAAAAAAATCTGAAAAATTGCTACAGAAATGGGTAGTACATGAACAAGAGTGGAATCTCCTATCCTGGGATTTCATCTGTGCCTCTATGGTTTCCATGATGACACGTTTCTTTTCTAGGACATCCTAATTTGGTGGTTTCTCAATTTTTCCATGTTTCCCCATTCAAAAAGGTGAAAACGAATCGTCTAAGGTTCAGTTCTGGCAGTAAAAATTGAATACTAAAATATACTGGTATTCCTGGCTGCCCAGGAATTTCACCCTTAAGATAAAAGAGAATTTAGATTTTTGCTCCACGGGAACTTTGTTGTTTGTTGAAAGGATTGTAAGTCTGTGGCTTTGATGTATGTAAGAATATAGCTAATCATTGTATTTGCTCATTTTCTGAAAGCACGGTTGCAAGACATAGAACTCTTTCTCCAGAACTGATAATCCTATAGCATTAACCAGGAGGAATGTCTCTTTAATCATGTACATATAGTAGCAACAGAAGTAGGTTCCTATCCAATTATTAGCATGTTATTGCCTTCGACTTGTTTCTTACTTATGGTTACAGCTAGTCTTCCCACTCTACCCATCTAACTTTGACAAATTTATTATGTTTTCCCAGCAATATTTGTTTAAAAGGGGGTTTTGTTCATTGTGCTTTCTTTTTTTTTAGTCCGAGAATGTCCCCAAAGTCACCTAGTGGAATTCCATAGCAACAGCCAGATTTGAACCGTGGTCTCCAAGAGTCTTTGTACTGCACCCAACAAACATGCCACATTGGTTTTCATTTTATTGGATTGTCTCACCATAGGGTTTTCAAGGTAAAGATCTTAGGGAGTGGTTTACTATGATCTTTCTCTGCATAGTGCAAACAAGCATTAGCTATGGTGTCAAAGCCATTGAATCTGAGATGTAGCATAAACTCAGGGTGAAAAATGTACATTAGGCAATATATCTATGCAATAACTTCTTATAGTATCAAGGAGGTAGTACTGCTTAGAGTGTTGCCATTTTAAAATTAATATCTATTTTTGAAATAATTTTTTCCTCCAAGACAGATGACTAGCCTGTGACTTGTGGTGCTCAGAAATAGATTTCCTTTAATGACAACTCATACTTGATTCCCACTCAAGCTAAATTTTCACTTTCTTTTCAGATAGAAAATAGCCTTGTACCAGCAATGCACTTTCTCTCTCTCTAAAGAGACAAAATACATTTCCTTCGCCAAATGCGTATTACATAACATGTAGTCTGAATATTTGCTCTGTGTGTAAGTACCTTCAAGTAGGCTGTCAAGTTACAACAGCCTTGTGAATCTTATAGAGCTTTCTTAGGCAAGGGACACTCAAGAGGTGGTTTTGTCAGCGGCATCCTATGTACAAAAACTTGGGCCATTGCAGCTAAATGCAGGGAGAAAAATCAAATCATCTCCCAGAGCACCACCTACAGGTCAAGCTTGTGAAAGAAAACAAGCAAGAATATATACAGTATTTCAAAAGCTGGCAACAGCTTGATTGTTCATCATTTATATTACGAGTCTCATTTATTTCATCTTCATGCCTCATTTCTCCATGCTCATTTGGAAGATATATATAAAATGTCTAAAGAATGTTTTCATGTGAGCTGTTCCTCTGCAATTGACAGCAATCATTCACTCAGGTTTTCCAGAGAATCCAGATGAAGTCAAATGAAATTGATGTTGTCCACCCACCTTTTAATCACACGTCATATTGAGTTTTCTGGCTTTAATTACAATAGTAGTGTCACCTATAGATTGGCAGAGTGCTGCTAACCTACTTTGTGTGAGAATTTGTTGGAATTGATAGAGGTTCCACCATACATTTCTTGCTATGTATTTCCTGATTGGATTGCAATCATTACATATCCTACACCCCTGTGGATTTTTATTGGTTTGATTGTAACTCAGTTGTATGGTGTGCTTATGTTTTGTTGTTGTACACTCGACATGAGCAGCAGCATGAAAATATTTTAAGATATCAAGATTAATGGTGCCCCATGCAATCATGCTGGCCACATGACCTTGGAGGTGTCTACAGACAATGTTGGCTCTTCGGCTTAGAAGTGGAGATGAGCACCACACCCCAGAGTCGGAGATGACTGGACTTAATGTCAGGGGAAACCTTTACCTTTTATCAAGATTAATATGTTTCATATCAGTGTAAATACATACAATTTCTAACCAATATCCATGTGGAAGACATGGAGCTATAGAGTAGCTGCTGAGAACGCTGCAGGGGTCGTGGATAAGGAACATGAACAGTTGACATTAAAGAAATGGAGTAGCTCCTTGCATCACTATGGTTGCAGCGCCCTCTACTGTAACAAAATATAATATGAAAATATCCAAGCGCAATGGATAGGAATCAAGCTGGATCCCCCCCCAAGCAACCATGGAGCTTCTTCAGTTAATTAGTATTTCAGGTTTTGACAGTAACGAAATGCAAATATTTATTTTATAGATATCTTTAGCAATTATTTGCTCAGATCTCACTTGGAATACAGTGTCCAATTCTGGACAACACAATTCAAGGAAAGATTTTGACAACCTGGATTGTGTCCTGTGTTATCACTGACAGGAAAAAAATCCATTCCACATCAGTTTATTTAAAAACAAGTGCAAAGGAGGGCAAAAAGAGAGGACAATTTGGATCATCAAGATGAAATCTTTACAGATTAGAGAGCTGGGCCAAAACTAACAAAATGAATTTCAACAGGGACAAACGCAGGACACTTCATTTAGGCAGAAAAAATGAAATGCAAAGCTACAGAATGGGGGCACCTAGCTCAACAGCAGTATGCGTGAAAAAGATCTTGGGAGTCCTTGTGGATAAGTTAAACATGTGCTGACAATGTCATATGGTAGCAATGGGATTTTGGCATGCATACATAGAAGCCTAGTGTCCAGATCCAGGGAATTCATGCTACCCCTCTATTCTGCCTTGGTCAGGACACACCTGGAATACTGTGTCCAATTCTGGGAACTGCAATTTAAGGGAGATGCTAACAAGCTGGAATGTGTCCAGAGGAGGGTAACTAAAATGATCAAAAGTCTGGAGAACAACCCCTATGAGGAGTGGTTGAGGTGGGCATGCTTTGCCTGTAGAAGAGAAGGCTGAGAGGAGACATGCTGGCCATGTATAAATATGTGAGGGGAAGTCATAGGGAGGAGGGAGCAAGCTTGTTTTCTGCTGCCCTGGAGACTAGGACACGGAACAATGGCTTCAAACTACAGGAAAGGAGATTCCATTTGAACATTAGGAAAAACTTCCTAAGTGTGAGAACTGTTCAACAGTGGAACTCTCTGCCCCAGAGTGTGGCAGAGGCTCCTTCTTTGGAGGCTTTTAAATGGAGGCTGGATGGCCACCTGTCGCTGGTGCTTTGAATGCAATTTTCCTGCTTCTTGACAGGGGGTTGAACTGGATGGCCTACAAGGTCTCTTCCAATTCTATGATCTAGGAGAAAGTAAAGGTATCCCTCCATTTGCTGCTGTCATTCCTATGAATTCAGATACTACTTTCCACCCCATTCTTATTTGTCAATGGAAGTAGTTTCTCCTATGCTTACATCATTAAAACCCCTCTACTCCCAATTTTTAATCCTTAAGAAACAATACAAATGCTTAGTCTTGGTAATTTAAATCCAAATGGGTTTGGGTTGTTGTAGGTTTTTTCGGGCTATATGGCCATGGTCTAGAGGCATTCTCTCCTGACGTTTTGCCTGCATCTATGGCAAGCATCCTCAGAGGTAGTGAGGTCTGTTGGAACTAGGAAAAAGGGTTTATATATCTGTGGAATGACCAGGGTGGGACAAAGGACTCTTGTCTGCTGGAGCTAGGTGTGAATGTTTCAACTGACCACCTTGATTAGCATATAATGGCCTGACAGTGCCTAGAGCAAACTTTTGTTGAGAGGTGATTAGATGTCCTTGTTTGTTTCCTCTCTGTTGTTGTGCTGTTGTAATTTTAGAGTTTTTTTAATACTGGTAGCCAGATTTTGTTCATTTTCATGGTTTCCTCCTTTCTGTTGAAATTGTCCACATGCTTGTGTATTTCAATGGCTTCTCTGTGTAGTCTGACATGGTGGTTGTGAGAGTGGTCCAGCATTTTTGTGTTCTCAAATAAAATGCTGTGTCCCAAATGGGTTTCTTTACATCAATGAAGATTCCATTTTGTTAAAGTAATCTGAACTGCATCAAGGTTAGCTAGGATTTACAATCCAAACCAATAGTATACATGAATATTTAAGAGCAGATACTGTTGCTGAAAAGAAAAGAAAAACCTCAAATAAAACATAGCTAATAAGAGTACATTGTGTTTAAATACTTCAGGCATATTAAAAATCATAAACAATTCTAGACCGTAAAAGGCCCATGTGCTAAAAGTTATTAAAAAACACAGACTAACTGCACAAATACGTGAAACAGGCTGTATGTACATTTTTATTAACAAGGGCATTTTCACTGTGATTAAAGACAACAGTGGGAAATACAAGGACAGTCCATATTACATGACAACTCTGTAGTTTAAGAAAAATATTGGCATATGGGACTTATATACAGCAGTATTTCCAAACAGTATACACAAACATACAAGAGTTGGCATTTTGAAAAGATAGAGCTTGGGTCAGAGGTCAAAAATCCTGTCCAAAATCTAAAAATATCAAATCTCAAAAGAGTTCAAGAGTATCATAATCCTGAACTCTTTCCATTTTACAAACATCCACTAAAGCCTTTAGTGAAAGCCATACATGAAATATCAAAAATATATTGATGAGTCTATCACTAGTCATGAATGCTCATATTTACATTAAGTTACCAAACTCATTGCCAAATGCTTTATTTACAAATCTCTATGTGCCCTTTGTGAAAGTCATTAAGTTTGAAAAACCATAGAAATGCCAGATAGAAACAATACATTCCAAGAAATTATACTTTTTATACAATAATTGCGTGAAAATAAATGTATGAAAATGCATTTTAATACAAGTACTCTCACAAAAACCTTTAATTCAATTGCAAAGTGAAATAAACCTGCCCTGAAATTTGAGGATGTAGATGCTTCTCTTTCACAATAATGCTGTAAATCAAAAATAAATACAATGAATTATTAATAAATCTTTATATAATCTCTTTATTTTTTAATATTGAAGTGTTACTAAACTGACTGCATTTAACTGAAGCTATGTACACTGTTTGCAAACCATAAATGGCTGAAATGAACTATGTAAGCTGCCTGAAAGAGCCATAAGATGTAAGCTGTGATTTCTCAGTAGCAATAAAAGTCAAGTTGAGGATGAATGGAGAAAAGAAAATAAATAAGCAAATCAATCAAAGAAACAAATTAAAAAATACAATTAAAAAGATTAAAAGTGTGACTTTGTGATGTCCAATAAAAGCCAAAATGCAACTGGGGACAAGGGATATTAATAGAAACATGTGCATTGGCAAGCTAACAACACAATTTCACTAAGGAAGAAATAAGCTCCACTGATTTCCACCCAGATTTATTGTCAGGTAAAGGTTCATACAACTCCAGTTAAAAATCTGTTGTCAAACCAGTGTGCACAAAAATGTGGGTTTCTATCATTTTCTTTTCTGTTTTTTTCTACATCATTAGACTAATCTTTTATCTCTAAAGTACTTGTGGCATCTACTATATCTTTAAAGTTTCACATAATGCCAAATTTGCATATATTGAATATTCTCATGTGTAAGTCTAGAAATTCACTCAAAACAATGACCCCCAAAATTTGGGTCACCTTATCCATGGGTCAATGTAAGTAAAGTGCCTTAAATTTTTATAAAAAACAAAAGTAACAAAATACACGAAAATCCAAAAGAAGCACTAACCCCGCCCCACTCCCCTGGCAAATATCTTCACTGCCTTTTTTATTTTATTTTTTTAATGCCTAGGTGGCAAAATGGCAGCAGTGGCCAGGGGCTACTGGCCCCCTGAGGCAGCACTGGCCCCTTCTCCTCTGCAGACTGACTCTTGACTTATCCATGGGTCATATCAAAATCCATAATTTTGGCCTCCAAATCTGCCAGTGACTAACGCATAAGGTGAACTTCTACATGAGTATATACAATATGCCAAATTTCCTTCATAAACAGAAATAACTCCCCAAAGCAAAACTTCTTTAAAAGCTTACCATTCTGCAATACTACACTGTGAACAATGAGTAACGCTTAGTGTGGAATTCTAGCTATTGGTATGCCTCAAAGGTTGCAATAATAGGAAGTATTGAGCCCATACAGGGGGATATCAACAGAAAAGTAGTGCTAAACAAATGAATGAATGTAAAGTTTTAATCTTCAAATTAACCAGGAAGCCACTGATTAGACTACAGGATGTGTGTTGGGAAAACTGATTTCTTTTAATGTAGCGGCAAAGTTCAGTAATAAATAATACTGGTTTTCATATGCCTTTGCAGATGTGGATGACACATTTTACACAGAACTAAAAGTGAGCTCTCAAAACTATTGCTAGAGCAATTCTTTATTGTTACAATTATCATATAAAGCAAAATAAATGATTTGTCTGCTCTGTACTACCTAGTAAGAAAGTACAGACATTTATAGGTCTCTGTATGGAAATCATACTAAGAGAGATGGCACCCCCAAAAAACAACTGTATAAGACACTATTCGTGCAAAATGCTTTCTGTGAATTCCCTACTCTGCTCAAGGGGTGGAAGAGAAAATAGATAGCCCTATTGTAGGAACACAAGGTAAGGGTGGAACAGAATAATTATTTCATATTAGGATCAAAGCTACTTTAAAGCAGGCTTGACCACTTGTTCTAAAAACACAACAAATGGATTTGCTATCCAACACGCAGATGTATCAACATGAAAACTCATAAGCAGTTAAAAAAAACCTTATATGCAGTAGAAAAAAACACTATGAACTACTTAGGTAAATTCATGTGCAACATAGCTACCATGTGAGTAAGAATAACCCCCTCTAAAGAAGAGAGAACATAAAACGAATACAAAAGGAGAAAATAGCAGATTGCAAATGATATAGATGACTAAACCAAAGCCTGGGGAAGAAACAAAAATAACACTTTGCAAAAGGTCAAAACAATGAATAAAATGAAAAATAACATTTACCTTCTCAATATAAAAACTAAGCATCACATCAAAATTAACAAATAGGTTCAAATATACAAAATAAATACTTCCACTTTGCCTATTACACAAAGGCGAATGGGTTTTATCACTGAGCAAGTTCTAAAGAAGGACCAAGTTAAAACACAGTTAATGGGGAAATAGAAGCAAAGTGTAACTGAACTCTCAATACAAGTCATGCTGAGGGTATCCTTACATGACAGAAACATGAAATGAATGGCAACGAGTTTCTTGTCTACTGCCAGATGGAAAGTTAGATTTAATCATACTTGGTCCACTCTTCCACTGGAAAATTATGTCCTTAACTCTGTAGTAGGCATGTTTAGTCTTTATGGTGCTGGATAAAGCATGTAGTTTTCTATCAATCATCCCTTCAGAAATCTCTTTTTTACCCAGTTAATTACTGCTCTGTCGCTGTACTTTTGGGCCAACACTTTGAGTTTCCTCTTCTGGACTTGGACGTTTCCCACTACATACTCCAGTGCCAAATGATATTCTTCCTGCAAATATAAAAGAAACAAGTATTTGAAAAATCTGGCTTTCATCTAACTTGAAAGACATAATATGTGTTTACAAAGCATACCTTTCTGGACTGATTGTGTTTTTTTATTGTCCCCATGAGCATAATGCAAAATACCATTTCCTTGAGAATAACCTGTTAAGACATATACTTACATTGTTTTTAAATATATAAAAGCACAGCTATTGCTATTCCTCTATTCCCTTTTCAACTTTTAGTTAAATGTATGATGAAAACATTCATTCATTGGGTCTCACAAATAAAATTAGCTCCGTATATTCTGCTTCAAAAGAATGGTCCATGCAATATCTTTTTCAAATGCAATAGTTACTACAAATCAGTACTCATCCTTAAACTAAAGGTATGTTTGTATATTAACACTTTAATTTTTCAAAATATTTATAATTTGATTTTGGGCACCAAGACTTCACAGAACAAAATGATATACAGTTCTTAATTCTAATTTGACACACGCATCCAGCTTTAATATTTTAAGTATCTTCAAAGTCATTTGTATAGTTAGCTGAAACGAACTATGACTCTTTGAGAGATTGTTCTGTGTCTGTTTTGAGATATTTCCAAGCTTCTAAAGCTGTGTTTTGGCAATAACCCTGTGCTTCTTTGTGTATAAGCCATGAACTCCCCACAAAACTTCTTTGGGTTCCTAGGTCACAGGAGGAGGAGAACCGATGATACTGAGAATGCCAAAAAGCTAAGACTTTCACATTAATCCTATTGCAATAGCAAACAAAAATGAAATGGATTTTAGCAGGAAAGTGTGACTTATATCTGTGTGAGTGAAGGCAGGTTTACTACCAGAACAGCTCTACAGGCTTCCAAAAATCCCTGCACAGATTTACTGTCTATATGTGAGTCACAGAAATCATAAAGAACATGCTGTGTGCTGCTTGCTCTTGTTGAGCATACTCTAGTGACAGGGCACACAAATGAGGCTCCACATGATGACCAGGAATGAGACTCTGCTGCTGGCCACACCCCTACAACTGGGGGGGGGGGGGTGCCATGTTTCCTGCAATTGTTCACACCCAGTAGTATGGACAATTGCAGGGAACAACCCTGAACATACTGGTGTTGACAGTGCAGACAACGGTGTCAAGACATGGCTGTGTAGGGGGTTTCCATTCTGCTTGTTCACTGTGTGGAGCTTCTGGCACATAGCTAATCCTTCAGGGGACTAGAGATGGACCCATAGAATAGTCATGCCTAGATTTAATGACAGTTCCACTGTGTTCTGTTATTACAGATGTCTATTTTCCCAACTATGGCCATAGGAACAGATGAATTAATCCTAATCATGCCACAAACCTTCCTCCTAACTCCTACAGAAAAGGGATATAAAAGAAAATACGCAATAGTTTTGTCTGCTGAAGCTAATATCTTCAAATTATAGATAAATTATAGGAGGATTTAGCTGCAAGCATAATCTAGAAAGCATGTTCATAATAGAAAACAATATAAACTTTGTTTTGCTTCTTTGCTTTTTTTCATTTTGATTCACATGTGATGTTGTTTATCACAACCAACATGGAGCAATTAGCTGAAAGGAGACTTTGTTCTGACTTCTCAAATTAATCTACTACCTTCGTCTTCAATTCTTCCCTTCACTAGTCACAATTGGATTCCACTCTGTTTAAAATGTCTCAAACTAGTGCAATGATCCTGACTTAGAAGGAATCAATCTATTCTTCAAAAGACAGATAGTGTGCTGTAAGGATAGCTTGGTCCTCTACCTAAAGCCAGCAGTACCTCTTTATAACTGTAGTGATCTAATTTCTGGAGGAAAAAACACAATAGGGCTGGCTAAGTACTGGCTGGTAGCTGGCAGTGAAGCAACCATGAAAAGAAAACTAAAGTCTAAAACAGTGGTTCCCAACCTGTGGGCCGCGAGACCTAAAATAAGGGCCGTGAGACATACGGGGGGAATTGACACTGGGGGTGTGTGCCGCCATTGGAGGAGAGCAAGAGAGAAGGAGAGGTAAGGAAGGAAGGAAGCACCAGTGCATTGCCCTTGCCAGCACTTTCTCGGCCTTGGGAGACTTCCCAGAGTGGAGAAGACTCACTTGGCAGCAATTTTCTGAATTAGCACCCCAAATAACCAAACTGAATCTAAAGTTGACCAAAAACTGATTCATAACCCTTTTGTTACTAATGTTGGAGAGTGGTCCCCAATTAAAAAAAGGTTGGGAACCACTGGTCTAAAGGTTGCCCAATAGCTTCTTCCCACTCTGTGTCTACATAACTAGGAAAGATAGAGTCCAGCAGATGAACAGCAAAAACCTTGACATCTTTATTTCTATCACATGAAACTTTGATGCTTCAAGCAAACGGACTGATTGATTGAGGCTTGCCTAGTCTTCTCTTGTTTGCAACCTACATTTTGATTAGTAATACCATCAAAACTTCACACTTTACAGTCTGTTTAACCCTTTTCTTTCTTCAGAATTTGTCCTCTCAAGCACTGATCCTAAATATAATTCAGCAGAAGACAGCTCACTGAAATATAACCAAATCTGCATAGAAAATTGGGGCATACTAAACTCGGATGGCACACATCTTTTTCATTTACATTTATCATTTACAACAAAGACAAACATCTGAAAAATTCTCTTAGAAAAATCCAGATCAATCTTTGCTAAATTAAAAGTTAAGATTATGAAAGGTTTACATAAACTGTCCAAAAGATAACAAAAGACATTATATTTAGTAGTATATGGATCCATGTGCACAGGCAGTGTTTTAACTGTTATATTAGATTGATATATACTAAAGCCTTATGAAAAATAAATTCAGCTTGTATAAAATGTTACAGCAAACCTTTAAAACAGGGGTTCTCAAACTTTTTAAACAGAGGCCCAGGTCACACTCCCTCAAACTGTTGGAGGGTCGGATTATAATTTGAAACAAACTTGAATGAATTCCTATGCACACTGCACATATCTTATTTGTAGTGCAAAAAAACACACTTAAAAACAATACAATAATTCACATTAAGAACAATTTTAGCAAATACAAACTTAATAGTATTTCAGTGAGAAGTGTGGGCCTACTTGGTTGATGAGATACGATTGTTGTTGTTGTGTGCTTTCAAGTCATTTCAGACTTAGGTTGACCCTGAGCAAGGGCCTGGTAAATGAGGGCTGTATTCGGCCCCCGGGCCTTAGTTTGAGGACCCCTGCTTTAAAAGATTTATCTTTGTGAAGCTCAACAAGTGGTGTAGATTTTTAAAAAGTGTTTTACCTTGCTGTTGAATTCCACTTGTTCCTGTATGAGATTCTCCCATGGCACATGCTTGAGCACTCCCTGCGTGTCCTTCATTCATTCCCATTTGAGATCCTGGCAGAAAGCAAAGTAAATCCATGTTAGCTTTTCACATTTGGGAGAAAAAGAATTATGAGCTTCCTCTCAGGCATGGATGTTGAGGTTCTCCACATCTCACACAAAGATGGATGACAACCATCATCTTTACCACTTTGCACTCATGATTATTTCAGCCTTGGTGGGAACATTCCTCTTCCTTCAGCAACACTGTGATGGCTCCACTGTACAGTGATACATTCATGTTTGATTTAAATTATGTTTTCTGGGCTCCTTTCCCTTCTTTTTTACAGGAGCTACGATGGCCTTTATCAGCTGAAATTATGGACAGAAGAACCTTGAGAATTTCTACTAGCTTTCAGTAATTTTCAAACCACCATTACCTGATGGACATATACCAACCTATGCAACTCAAGAGCATGGTTTAATTCACCTGTTCACTTTCCAATGGGACATAAGCTATCATCGATCAGCAATGAACAAACAGTCCAGTCTATGCACAAAAGAATGGACACAACACTGTCTCTGATTGCTAAGTGACTATGCTGAAGAAAATTCAGATAAGGTATTAGAAAAGGAGGCTACCAAATTACAATTCACTGAGAAGATTCTTTTCGATCTCCTACAGACTTACTTAAGAAAAACCCATCATATTCTGTGTCCTAATGGACTTAGATCAGGGGTCCTCAAACTAAGGCCCGGGGGCCGGATGCGGCCCCCCAAGGTCATTTACCCGGCCCTCGATCAGGGTCAACCTAATTCTGAAACTACTTAAAAGCACACAACAACAACAACAATCCTATCTCATCGGCCAAAAACAGGCCCACATTTCCCATTGAAATACTAATGCATTTATATTTATTAACATTGTTCCTCATTTTAATTATTGTATTGTGTATAAGTGTTTTTTGCACTACAAATAAGATATGTGCAGCGTGCATAGGAATTCATTCATTTTTTTTTTTCAAATTATAATCCGGCCCTCCAACAGTTTGAGGGACTGTGACCTGGCCCTCTGTTTAAAAAGTTTGTGGACCCCTGACTTAGATGATGCCAAGATGGTAGTGCTATTAGCAAGAGTGGCAATTTAATAATGGGATAAACACTACTATATTCTCTGTGCTACCTTTACTTCTGATTTGTTTACAATTCTGACTGCAGAAAACACATGAATGAGGAGGGATTCCTATTTGTCATGATAACACGACATGCATATGATGAAGTGGACTGTAGTCTAAGAAAAATCTTAGCCTTAAGGTGTTCTTTTAAAAATGAAATAGTAACTTGGATACTGCCTAGAATTCATTTCAATGGTTTTGTTTCAATTTTGTGCATGGTATTAAAGAGCTTAAAGCTTAAAGAGATGCTACACTCAATGAGTTTCACAGTTTCCTGCTTAAGAATAGAAATGACTTACCATTTGTATTGGTGCAACCTGGAATGTTCTCACCTGGGGAATATCCCATTAGGCCACCATTTCCATTCCCATTTCCATTAGAAGGCACTGATGCAAGGAGGCCTAATCAAAAGAAAATGCCATAGCATCAGCATAAAGAACATTGTTCAATCAGTATATTTTCACATTCTGGCAGAAGACATTTTTACATTTCATTCATAGATTTTCTCAGTAACATATCTAAGATTATACTATGGCAGTAAAGGCAAATATTTTTATAAATCTACAAATACCCAATTAGACTTTAGAATCTAAGCTTGAACACAAAAGTAAATAAATACAGGAACTGCATTTTGTAAACAACTCTTTGGAGGGGGAAAAGTGAATGAGAAACTTCTGAAATACACAAAACAGAAGGAATATGAAAACAAATAATGTTTGAAATTTTGCAAACTGAATAGTATTCTGGAAAATCAGCAAATCCTGACAAATGGATTAGTAATTTTGTTCTTCTAGACAAAAGAAGGAAATGCTTTTTTCAAAAACTTGAGCAGTGTGAACGTTTTTAATCTTAGGAGATTTATCAGGAATTTCAGATTCACTTAAAACTTTAAATATCTAAAATCTGAAGCAAAAAGTAATACAATGGGAGGGAAAGCCAAAATGAAAACTTATGCGAAATATGGGAGAATCAAGCTATCTCCCTAGTATGAAAAATATGACAATGTAAACAGCAGGCCTGAGGGAAGAAGTACCCAGACAGGGCACTACAAATAAAAATGACAAAGCCTTGGGAAGTTACTGGCTAAGCTCCAGTAAGCGTTTCCTGAATTATTGGAATAATTCATGTGGTTCCAGTCCAAAAATAACCATAACTTTTACAGCCTTTCCATTTTTACTTAGGTATCTTCCTATAGAAAAGGACATTTGTAACTGAAAGTCGCTACATCCCTAATCCATAGTAAAAACAGACAGGTTAAATGTAACAAAATAAAAATAACTGTTGTCTTTAATGCTCTCATATTTGTTTGCAGCAATTGCCACTTTATGACCAACCCACCATTCAAATTTATAACTCAATAACTTCTATATTTGTGCTGTATTATTTTGAACAATTGCAGGGATAAGGATGCAGTGACAGACAGTGATCTGCCCATGCAAGAAATTAACATTGAAACATAAAATTCACATTAAAACGATAGCACCCTGAACTGTATAAAGTTATAATAAAATCAATATGAATGAACAGCCTAAGGGAAAAGGCCTTTCCCCAGTCTTTGTTAATCTACATAACAAGCATTTTGAAATTATCTGGGTCTTAGGCAACAATCAAAGTAAAGACAATTTTAAAATAAAACATATCATACCTAATCCTCTGTATCGTGACAGTTGTTGATACATTTGTTTCATCCTCTCGATATTCAAGCGACTTGCTTCAGCATGATTTACCATTGGTTTGGGGTAATTCACACCTATTATACATTTCGCTGCCTTCTGAACACCATCAGGAGCATTCCAAGGATCATATATATATTTTGCAGGAAAACCTCTAAGTACAGGTAGATAGCGTCTAATTAAAAGAAAAGAAAAAATAATTAATTATTGTCAAAATCTTGATAAATTAATTAAATGTGTAATTTCACTGATGTTTCACAATGCTGTTTAACCTGATATAGTCTCCATTAGGGTCAGTTCTTCTGCCAAAGCCCACAGGACAATAGCAATGGAAAAACTGCTGGAAGAAGGAGCTACAAGACAGCCACATCCAACTGCCTGCATTCACACTCCAGTCAGCATCTAGAAGCAATTCTTCAAATACCTGAAAAAACAAACATAATGTTTCTTTTTTAAAAAATTCAGCAAATGGCCTCTAGGAAACAGAGTTTTCAAAGCTTTGCCACAAAGGTATTTAAATGTCCTTGTATAATATGACATATATACCACATGACCACATAAACATGTGTATGTGTTGTGTGTGTGTGTGTGCCTGTTATGACTAAGTTTATGTGGCCAACATATGGAAGAACCTCCTGAGCTGTGGTAAGTGAGAAAACCTAATTTAATCTGGGGAATTATCAATTTGCATGGTTTGGTCCATGAGGTCACAAAGAGTCGGAAACGACTGATCTAATAAACAACAAACAAGAGGCTCAAGGTAGTTTACAGAAATTGAAAGTAGGGGAGGGGATAGGGAAGAGAAAAAATAAAAATGAAGCTTTCATGTTGACTTTCTTTGCCAAAGCAAAAAACCAAAAAAACAACCAAAAACTCGGTGCTCCAACTTGATAAAATGAAATTATACTACACAAGGAGGTGTACACAAGACCCTTCAATTGGTTTCACTTGGCACTCCTGCATAGATTTCTGTAGGGGATATGATAAACAATGATCAGAGCAAAAGCAACAATAGAAGTGCTAAATCCCTGAAAAGCAGGGCAGCACTTGAAAGCTGGATCTCCTGCTGGAAATAAAACTAGATTTAGAAGCACTGGCATAGCCAGCTCCTCGTGTTGCTATGGCTAAAAGCCATGAAGATCAGGCCGCTCATGGTATTCTGAACACTTATCTGACATACTTTAGTACGAGGCCAAGGAAGGAGTGGGTGGATCGGCCTAAAAATAGAAACTCACAGAGCTAAGACCTGAGCAGGTCAGCTCATGACCTTGGAGGTCTTTCATTCATAGAGTTACTATAAGTCAAAATCAACTTGATAGCCAATAACAATGACATAACCTGTTGTATTTCAGTTTACCACTAGATGTTGCCATTTAGCCAAATTCACTCAAGTTATATAACAATGTATCATGTTTAATGATGCTATAACAGAAAGCTGTACATTTCACTCCACAGGTCTATCAGCAGCAATTGTTGTAGCATAACTTTAGGGAACTTTAATTCAGATTAATCCTCACAGAATTCACTAGAACATATTAAGTAATGCTTATGAATACAGCTGATGGGTATTTATTCTAAAGGGGGACAATATTACAGGCGCTTCTTGCAACAAAAGGCACTATTTGGAACATGATGTGCGACAAGACCAACATTTATATAAAGATACAACTTGTTCTATAAGTAAACGGAATGTGAGGCAACAATTGCCTCTGGGGTATTTAAAACATATAATAAAGACATCAACTGTAAAAGCCAATATCAGAAATACATCAGTTAGAAGAGAGGAGTACCTTCATTCCTTCTTCCCAACTAATCCAAAGATCACCCCGAGTCAAAAAACAGGCCACAGCATGCCTGGCCAAATGGTGGATCCAGCCCTCCTGACGCAACTGGGTCATGATAGCATCAATCCAAGGGAACCCTGTTCTGCCTTCTGCCCATTTTGCTAAAGCTTCAGGATTCCTGTCCCATGGAATCTGCACACATATGGGATTGCCTTCCATTTTATCAAAGCGTGGATTGTTAGTGGCTGCTGTGTAGAAGAATTCACGCCACAACAACTGCCCGTAGAGAGAAAGAGGAGGAGAACTGTTCTTTTTTACCTGAAAAATCAAAGCACATGAGAAACAATTTGACTTAATAATACTTAAATATAATTGTTTCTTTAAAAGTATTTGACAATTCAAAGTGGCCAATTCATACCTTTTTATACAAGTCTGTTAACTTGAAATAAAATAGGCGGCAAGACAAGCAGCCAAAACGTAGATAGGGACTAAGTCCTGTTGGACTTGCAAGAAGAGAATTGGCATTCATTCGCGGCCGTTCAAAGTTTGCTACCCAAGCCTAAAAAAAGAAGAAAAAACGAAAATGTATATTTTAGGATCACTTTAAATAGATTTAAGGGGAGTAAAAATACTATCCCTAGTAGACCATTTGTAAGTTTTGCTGCTTTATTTGGCTAAATCCAAGGAATAAGCTTACATGTGGTTTCCCCTTCCTCTTTAAACCTATCTGCATTTGATCCCCCAATGATTGGCTTGAAGCCCCCTTCCCCCCCCCCTTGAACAGTGATTCCCAAGCTTTTTTGACCAGGAACCACTCTTCAACATTAGTACCAAAAGGGTTATGAATCCGTTCTTGATCAACTTTAGATTTGGTTTGGTTATTTGGGATCTTGGGATACTGATTCAGAAAATTTCATTGGATAGACCACATCAGCTCTAGCTTCTGATACAGAGCATATGCCATCCAGTAGTCGCCATCTGCTCACCCACAGAAAACCATAATAAGCCTCGGCGCTATAAGAGAGTTTCGCGAGACCAGTCACTCTTGTTGCAAAGGTGTAGTAACGGTGAAGCTGCAGATCATATTTTAGTTCTTGCGGTCCACTGGTGGTCCACGGACCGCAGGTTGGGAACCACTGCTCTTGAAGAAGGCTAGCCAAATTCTTTCTTATAGCAGAATGGCAGTGGTGTAATTAAAAAGAATCCACAAGACCTAATATCAAAATTTCAGGCTAATAAACCTATTCAAATATCCATAGCAGGATAAAAGTCAACACAAAGCATGTGGAGAATGATATTTGGAAATATAGAGCTTCTTCTACATGTAAATTCTCACAATGTTCCAGAACTCTGACAATCATAGCTCTGAATCATGTGCAGGATGTGGCTATCATTTTGTACAGGATAAGCACAGTGAGTGAAACTACAACCAACACCCTTTCCCATTTGTCCAAATTAGTGCTATTCTGAACATTTGGACAGGTCTATTTTTTCCTTACAGTTTGCATTTTACATAATTATAATTTGATATAAATGATAAGGCTTTCAAAACTATTATTTTAAAAAAGGTTAAACCTTGAAACACGATAAAAGCTGTTACTAGTTTATAATATAACTTCAAGGGATCTTTATTATAATGGCAGCAAAGCTTTTTCAGTACTCTGTAAAACATCCAGCTTTGTTTAATGAATATCTAGGGCAGCAAAGTTCAGCAACATACCTTTCTTTCTAAGTGTCTTTCCAATCTTGTAAGAGCTTCTGTTTCTCCACCTGGCCAAACAGCAGAAGGTAATCCATCTGTATCAAAACCTGCAGAGAAAAGGAATTATAGCTCCAAGTTGCCAAGTATCAGGAATGTAATTTGCCCAGGAGGAAAAATGTTTGATGACATCTTCATACTAAGAATCAAGTGCATCATGGGTAGCAAGGAAGATCCAACTACTACAATTAAAAACTATAACTCCTAGGTGATGTTCAAAAGGTTTATGTTCCCTGAATGCCATTATTTCTTCAACCAAAACATGTTGAAGAAATAATGTATCCTATGTATCCCAAAGCCCAGTTACACTGTCATGAGCTGTCTACTTCCTTGCATGACAGTTTCACTTCTTTCCTAATGTTTCTTTTTTTTAATTTATTCATCTGTGTGGGTGAAAAACTATCTATGAACGTGTTTGGCTGGTGCCATGGTTGCTGATGTGAGAAAGTTTTTGCTCTGCCTTCCTGACAGGATCTGACAAGATGCTACTTAATGGTTTGGTTTTTATTTTGGTTCTAGGATATTCAAAGCACAGTAGTGCTGAAAAGGAAAACTGAAACTAATCCAATAGTCTAGACTACGAGTAAAAACATGTTGCTCAGCAGTAACCATGGTTCTTTGAGGGATATTCCATGAACTCACAGAATTGGGGGCCTCTGCAACTGTACAATGCATCATTTGTAATAGATTTTAGCGCTAGTATGCAAGTGTTCTGGCAGTAGCCCTTCCACTGGTATCAGCACAGGATCAGCACTCAACCCCTCGTTTCCCTGGATGCCAAAACAGCAGCCAAGGAGCTAGGGAGAGCAGGACACTTGGAGAATGGAAGGAGGGTTGGTATTTATTTATTTACTGTATTTACATACTGCTTTTCTCACCCCTGGGGGGACTCAATGCAGTTTCCAACATAAAGCAATTTTAAATGCCAAGCATAAATGTAAAAAACTAAGCATAAGATCACACAATAACATATAATTATGAATTAAAACTCTTAAAATCATATTTTAAAACACTCAAAGAACACTATTACAGGCAAGCAACCTCTTTTTAAATGTGAAAAGAATGCACCAAGCACTACTCCATCAATACTTGTAAACTGGGATACAGAGGTTTCTTTGAAGTCTTGTACTCATAAGATGAAACATCTCCGTGTTTCATCTTATGAGTGGGTGTGGAGGAGACTGGGGGCATGAACATTTCTTAACAGCATATTTTGCACAACTCTTGCTAGGACTAAATAGCTGACTTAACCAAGATAAGCTCACTGCAGAGTAAGGAGTCTCGGTATGAACTGAGAAAAGCAAAAAATTGGGCACTTTTACACCAACATCTAATTTGAGCCTGCTCTGGTGCCCGGTACACCAGATCAGATCTATACGGAGTCCTCACTGGGATTCCCTGAGCTGCCTCAGAGGTGGGAGGGAGTCCCTGCCGCCCAGCCATACCAAACATGGCTTTGTGCCACTGGGCAGCTACCATAGGAGTCCCCCCCCCCATGTCCTTTGTTTCATGCGATCCCCAGCTGCAACACAGTACCCACCTGCTCCTCAGTATTCTGCCTGAGGGAGAACACTGGTGAGCCGTCAAAGAAGGAAGGAGGGAGAGCAAGAGAGCTCCCTCCTCAAACCCCTCCCTTATTCTTCGGTACATCAGAGCTCTGTATGATATCAGCGAGAGCACCAGGAAGAAAGCAGGTGCTGTGTCATAGCTGAGGACCATGTTGACATGGATGAGGGAGACATGGAGGACTACAATCTTGTGTCCCCGGGCTGCCTGAGGCTGGGAAACAAGGGATGGCAGTCAAGACAATTGCAGCCACACTATTTAAAAGGACTGTTGAGGGGAAATATAATAATGACAAACATACCACATTCATAATGCACTTTTCTAACAGATGCCTGTTTCTGATACTGTATTTTATTAAATGCTTTCTTTGTTACAAGATATAGTAAAAAAAAAAAAAAAAAAAGACAGCCAGTTCCAGTTGGGAACCAATCCAACTGCCCTGACAGCCCCTAAATTGGGTGAAAGCCTGAATCCTGAACAGGATTCGGTCTTTTCCCCTGATTTAGGCTAACCTACATTAACCTAGATCAGCTCCCCATTTAAGTTAACCTGGATCAGTCCTGTGCAGAGTTTAACTGCTGCAGGGCTGATCCAAATCTGCAGTTACAAAGGTGGCCAGTGCAGATAAATTCTTTGTCAATCTGCCTTCTGAGACATTCTGATTTAGATAATCCTAGAAAATTAGGAATTTCACATTCTGCACCAAGAAAAAATTCTGCACAAAATTTAGTACATGAGGCTGCTTTATACAGTATCAGACTATTAATTTGAAATAGTGCTTAATTTATTAGCTCCTTGGCAGTTGACAAGAAACTATATAGGCAACAGATACTGTTTATAAAAGCAATCCTGCATATGCTATTCCAAAGATGTAGCATTTATTTCTTCATTTTATACAAGGAATCATGTTTAATTTCTTTGTTTACCTAGTTCTTCTAATGATGGTACGCCATACTTCTCATCATGGTCATCAGAAACTGGAGTGGTACACTTTGACATTACTTCTGCAGTGATGGTTTCTACAGGTATCTCCAGTGGTTCCATTCTACTTATTAAAGTCTGGAATCTCTTATAAGTAAGAGGTGGCTGTCCTCCATTTAATTCTATAATCCTAGATACAGAGAAATCAACATTTAATTTGTTTAAAGTATATATAATGTTTAAATTGCAGTTGTACCTTTAATATGAGGTGACATTCACATTATAATTATCTTCATTAAATTCCTCAGAAAACATAAAGCATAAACGGTATAACAGCTACAGTTCTAGTCAGATGTAAAAACATCAAGTATCAAAGTCAGAACTACCCAGGCTATAGTATATGTGATGTTAAAGTTGAACAGGAAAGAAAACTGTCAGGAAGAAATTAGACTCATTTAAAAAGTGGTGCTGGAAAAGATTTCCATCGATATCCAGGATGCTAAAACAAGGCAAATAAATGGGTCCTAGAGCAAATTTGACCCTAGCTGACACATTGGACTGTGGGCAGATTTTTGTTAGATTTTGAAAGAATTCTGTGTCTTCATCCTGAAATAGCTCTATAGGTGTACTATCTGTTCTTGGTGAATTATTCTACATTTCTGAGTTCATCTTCAAATAGCTTTTGTTTGAAGGCACACGTAATCATTTCTTCTCTTTTATATAGTTCCTCTATGTAGTACCTCTTTATTTTGTTCTGTTCATATAACGTGTTCTCCTATTAATCACATACCATACCTATTTTTTTAAATGTCCTTTTAATTTCTCAGATCCTGTGGAAGAAGTGTCTTGTTCTATTTATTTGCACTGATTATTTTAACATTTCTTTTTCTCCCTGTGCACAGATTGCTTAACAGCTGTATTTGGAATTCTGATCCTGTTTCTGTCAGCTTTTACATTTGCTTCTCATTTGCTTGTATGGATTTGAAGAGTTTCATTTAATGAAGCCCTCCCCTCCTTTTTTTTAACTTCTTTTTCGGTACAGATTATGTCTTTTTTGGATTTTTCCCTGACAATGGCCCTAGTTTCAGTCTGCTTCCATTTCCATCATACTCAGTAGTGCAAATCTGTTCATTACATATTTTTAAAATTTTGCAGGGATGTCCAGGTAGTATTTTGACACTATAATGGATTTTAGTGTATTTCTTTAGCTTTACTCTAATGTTTAGTATTAGCAGTTCATAGTCTGTTCCACAATCTGGATAAATCTTGTTTTTGCAGAAACAATAGAGCTTCTCCATGCCCTGTTTCCAATTATATAGTTTATTTGATTTCTATTTTGGTCATTTCCCTATGCTGACACACATTTTCTTCAACTCTTTAAAGAAAAAACGACTAGAAATGGAAATGTTAAAATTGACTGGTATATGATCCATTCATTAAACTACTAGATTATTTTATGAAACAATGCAGTTTTACACATTAGAAAGTTTCCATGGAAAAAATATGAATGGAAAAAGTTGCTTTGTAGAATATTTTCTGGTCAATATCATTATTATGTATGTGTAATGCATAAAGCCCAACAGTGAACACAGCATTTTCTCCTTTTCCCTTAGAAAACTAGCAACTTACTTGTCTAGCTCATATAGCGTGTGTGAAATCCGTACAATGACCTCCACTCCCGCTTCACTAGCCAACTTCTTAATTGCGGCATCTCTTTCTTTCCCAAATGGTTCAGAATCATATTCAATAGAAAGTTTTGCGATGTTCCATTCCTGTAGTTTTGAGAAAGAATAAAACTTTTTTAAAAGGCAGTTGTTCTGGGTCACAGAGAAAAAGAGTAACAAACCTTTTCTATTAATCTATAAAAGTGATCAACTGTATTAAGTAGCAATGCAAGGGCTTCGTGAATTTTATATTTCTGCAACTGGAGTCAGCTACCCACAATAAATCTGTTTATGAATGCCAAAAATATGTGCAATCTATATAAATAAAAATGTAAATGCCCATTTGTTCAAAACCTTACATCTCCCAAAATATTTAACTGATTGCTTTGAAATGTTGACACAACATAGCATTCAAATAGGCGCATGTTTTTATATTTCTTTCTTTAGGCCCCTTCCACACAGCTGTATACGGTCAATATAGAACTGGGTGACATGGCAGTCTGGACGCAAATAACCCAGTTCAAAGCAGACATTGTAGATAATCTGCCTTGATGTTCTGGGTTCTATAGCTGTAAGAAAGCGCCCTAAGTCTACACTGACATATAATCCACTACAAAGAAGACACTGTGGATTATTTGCCTTGATATTCTGGGTTGAAGATGTCCTCATTTCCTGCATTCCTATGATTCCAATGAATATGCCATTTCTATTTAAGGGATTGCAATTCCCAATTTGATTGGATTTTGCAATCACCTTTAACAAAGTTCAGGGCCAATCTTTAGAGTTGTGCGGTTCAGATCTAGACATGGATTGCTCCTCACATTGGCAATTATATGTTGCGTGTTCTAGAGTCAGCAAACCAGACCATCTCTATATCTGCATAGACAGTGGGACAACAACAAATATTGTATACCCAAAAGCATTGTGAAATTAAATATATTAGAAACCCGCTCTTTCTCTTTTCTTTCTTTTCCATTTAACCAGACTGGGCCACAGCAACGCATAGCCAGGTACAGCTAGTATCTAATAAAACCAGTAGCTTCTTTTGTCTGAAAGTTGAAGCTGAAACTTTACAAGAACCAAAAATGCCTCCAAAATAAACATCTGATCAAACCACACCTCAGAGATTTTGCAACCACACCTTTGATTTTCCCTTCCAAGTTGCTTCTAGAAAAGAGGAACTGACCAAATACATGGATTTAGGCAATATATTTGACAAGTATTAAGGGAAATGGGATAAAAATAAATTACATATTCTTTGGTTTGAAGGGTTTCTGTAAAACAGAGTTCACAGATTCATAGACAGAATGCAAAGTAAAGAACAAAAAGAATACAAAGAATATACTGCCTATAAAGACCTAAACGGTTCCAACCCATCTTACCTGTCCAAACAAATCTCTCCCTATGAACCATCTAGGAGTTTAAGAACAACTGGGGAGGCCTTGCTCTCGATCCAGCTTTCTACACAGGCGCGACTGGAAGGGATGAGAGACAGGGCCTTCTCAGTGGTGGCCCCTCAGCTGTTGAACTTCCTCCCTAGGGATATTACATCAGCCCCTTCCCTCCTGACTTTCCGCAGAAAAGTGAAAACATGGCTTTTTGAACAAGCCTTTGGGAACCTAGTGCAATAGATAAACACGGAACTATGTGAAAATGCATACTGGAATGGCTTATATGATGTTTTTGGATGACAAAGCTAATAGTGAAGGTAGTGGTTTTATATGTTTTTAAAGATTTTAATGTATGTATTTTAACATTCTGTTTTAAATGTTTATTGTAATTTTTACATTGTTTTAATGTCATCAAATAGCTAACTGTTGTAAAGCCCCCTTGAGTCACCTTCAGGTTTGAGAAAGGAGGGGTAGAAATATTGTAAATAAATAAATAAATAAATAAATAAATAAATAAATAGAGTTGCACTGAATGACTTAAGAGAATGCTAGAGAGAAAATTATTCTAAACATTTGTAGGTCCTCCACCATGATTCCATGATTTACCTCTGGAGGAAGTTGACCACAGAGTCACACTGGAAGGTCGATAAATCTTAGAGAGTTATTTTCTCAGGTTGAAAAAAAAGGGTTTCTTATTAGAGGTTTTCCCACTTTCACAAATGTTCTGTTCCCCAACCCCAGCAAATAATGGAGGGATAACGTGATTCACTGAAATGTATTTTTATTATGCTTATTATGTTTTAATGTTTAACTTATGTTTTAACTGATGTGGTATGTTTTAAGGCACCATGGTGGTGCGATTGTAAGCTGCCTTGAGTCCCCCTCGGGGTAGAGGAAGGGGAATATAAATAAGGTAAATAAATAAATGTGTGCATGATATACAGAAGTATCACAGAAAGGGGGGAAAGGAAGTATATTGTAATGAAACCATGAATAAAACTTCAGAATTTACCTTAAAGAGCCTAGGAAACACATCTGCAGGCTGTCCCCGAATGACAAATAATCGAGAATTTAACTTCCGTAAGTTTGCATCCAAATCTTCAAGACACTGAAGCAGAAACCTATAAGAAGACGATGAAAGAGATGAACAGCTGTTTTCTCTAAAGTTTGTCTCAAGTCCAATTTGGTGACAAAAGTGCAATGATAACGAAGTATGATGGTAGTTAAGATTTTATTTTGTGAATAAATGTAATGCACAGTCCAATATTTGCACAGCATTTTAAGTGCTCATATATTGAGCACAATCATTACTAATACTCACATCCACTATCAAAGGTTGAACAATAATGCAAGTCTGGATTTTAAAGTCAACACATTGCTTTAAGGCTACCTGAATGAGTATGTAACTTTGGACAATAAAACCTAGCGCAGCTGTTCCAACTTCTCTGAAAGGAAGCTCATTAAATACATATTGTCCTGATAGTTAAAGTGAGCAAAACAAGATATTAAATATCCAGATTCAGGCCAGCTCCTGAACATGCATTCTTTCAGTAATCAATGATGTATCTTGGTTCTTGTGGGAGTATCTTGTCTAATATTAAATCAAATTTCCACACTAAGGTATATTCATTGAAATAATATCCCACCTTTCTCTATAAAGGGATACTCAAGTCATTTGATACATATGCCGAACATGAACAACCAAAGCTCTCAATAATACAGTTTTATTATAATACAGGGCTGGTGATCTTGCAAAAATTAAGATAGATTACAATTATTTTAGGCCCAGGACATATTTACCTTTCTCATTCTGTACTCAATCTGTACCTAGAGAACTTTGTGTCTTGTGGGATTGGGGGATCAGGGAGGGTATAAAAAAAAGGACTGAAACGCTATGAAGAGAGAGATGGGTTGGGGGGAGAAAAGGAAGGGGGTCTACGTTGTTAATTGCAGCAATAACATAACATACTTATGTCTATGTTTGATGTATTTATAGTTTTAATTGGTTTTAATCTACAGTTATATGTTATTGGTTTAGATATGTTGTAATTTTTTTAAATATGTGAGGCATTGAATTTTGCCAGTTACTATATTTTAAGCCACTTTAGTCCCCCCAGGGGTGAAAAAAGCAGTATAGAAATGCAGATAATAATAATAATAATAATAATAATAATAATAATAATAATAATAATAATTAGGGTGCATCAATCTATCTAGTAAGTTTTAGCATGATTCAACTTTTTGTAGGGGTAATGATTAATCTCCTTTGCTACACTAGCCCACTAGGTACGTGTCACTCAAGTGCAAAGAGTCTGTACACGCCCATTGTACTTTTAAAACCATACAGAATAGAATAGTAGACACACTGGTTTGCATCAGACAAACACCAAAATCTATAAATCTAGAAGGATTATAAACATAATTTCAAATAGAAATAAAATCATTACCCCAAGTTTAACCAAATGTCACCCACATTTGGCACTTTGTTAAAATCCAACAGAAACACTGTTTGTTTAAATAAGCCAGTCTAGCATACATGTTTGAATTTTCCTTCCAAGAACATAACAGAATATGTAGTCTCAGAATGAAATGCTTTTGCTTTCCTCATCCATCTGGAGCCTTTTTATGATCCCGGACATTTGTTTGTGGGAGTTGGTGTGCCATGCCTTGCAGGGTGATGCAGACAGAAAGAGAAATTAGCAGACCTTCCCACTTATTATATAAACAGAGGAGCGACACAAGATCCAAGCCATACTTGAAGAGATTGTTATAACTGTTTTATGCATAACATGTATTTACAAATAATTCTGTGTCCTCTATTTCCCTACTAATCAGGAACTTATCAGGAACAGTCCATCTTACACAGCTGCTGGGAAAAGCCAGGAGTTGCAGACTGCCTTGAACAGTCCTATCCCCTGGGAACAAGCTCTTCTACTGCTACCTGGTCCTGGTTGCCAGGTAACACATTTCAGAAAGGAACATTATCTCTGAAGGCTACTTTTCAAGAACATCACCTCAAGTTGTCCCTTTAACCAAACAACAGTTTAGAACAAGGGATTGGATATTTAATACCTTTTCCACTGTCTTTTAAAATGAACAGAAACATTTTTTTCAGCCACATCGATAACTTACTTAAAATTGTAAATGAATAATGGAGCAAAACCATCGTTATAACTAAGATGTCACCATACATCATCTTCCAGCAGTTGTAGTGGAATCAAATGAGAGAACACATACCACTCAAAATTCAGAGGAACTCTTCTACCATTTTGTAAACACATTTTTCTCATACATTTGCACTTATTGTTTTCAGCTCAGAATGCACATAAAATACAAATTTTCCTGCAGATCTCACAGATAAGAACAATAAAAGTTATCTGAAACCATTCCAAAACATAAGACATTTTGTCTTTCCAGAAATCATCTTGCAAACCAGTAATCTAAGCAGTTCACATTCAGATGGTTTTCCATTTCTTTCTTTTTATTTTTTTCCTATTCTGTTAAGTAAATACAATATTTGGCACAATAAACATCTTTGATTTGAACCACTTAGGCTACTTTAACAAGGGCAACTACTAACACCTGCAAAAGACAAGTTGTTCTTGTACTTAAAGTAGATCAACCCTTAATTTCTTCAGCCACTCACAGTAAAGGCTATCTTAATTCAAACATCTATTTGTCAAATGATGTATTTAACTTTTTAAAGGAAAGAAATTCACTGTTAACTACCATATACACTGGAAGATAAATAAAGTAGATTGTAATACTAAATCAATGATGTAAGCAGAACCCAAAGATGTCAGTAAATTCAGAGAATATGGATTACCTTGTTAATATCAGTCCTGCTACTCAGAACCAATATGTACTTGTGGAACTCTTAAGCTGATTAAGCTCAGACAGGATTTAAATGTTTTGTTCATTTCACAGCATCTAATAGCCACACACGCTTTTCATCAAAGTAAGTTCAGGTGTTTTGTTGCATTAGTTCTAGCCTTCTGATAAAATAAAACATTAAAACTATTGAGTTTTCAGTATAGACAGCTTAATTTACCTGAATGCAACAAAGGAGATGCAAGATACGCAAGGATAATTATATAGCAGTGACACTTGGCTGGCCACATTTTACATGTATGGGAATTGTACTGAAAGTAGTGCCCATGTGCCATATTCTCTGAAACTACTGATCCAAATGTGATGATATTACACCACCAGATATAGTAATTCTTGCTGCATGACTGACATAATTTCTGCATTTATGAGTGCTGCTTTGCCATTAGATATGAAGAGAAACAAAGAGGAGCAATTGAGTTCTTGATCAAAGAAGGATGTACTGCTGCCAACATTCTGAGAAGGCTCAGAAACATGCATGTTGAGCAAGAATTGATTAAAATCATGTGCAAAGATAGATGTGCCCAAAAAGAGTTTGTCCAAAGAGGATTTTATGAGTGTGTTCAAAGGTGATGCAACTAATCACCATTGATATAGAGACTATTTTAAATAATAACATGTTATAGACAAATAATTACTTTACCCATGTATGTAGTAGTGTATTTCTCATGTTGTTAATAAAAGAATTATGACCTGATATGCACACTTTTCAGAATGATACAACTGGCTGTGCATGAAGTCTGATTCAGTGAACAATAAACGATCAACTACAGAAGACGAGCATCCCACTTTTGCCAACTGATGTGTGGGAAAGATAGTTTAAAACTTGTCTTTGAGATTATGAGCAAATTGCAATTTTCAGTTACATTCAAATACGAAAAACCCTTCTAAATTCTTAATAGAAAACTGTTCTAAACACTTAAGCATTAAAATGGATCATAATGCTATGTGTTGTCTAACCCATGGCAGAGGATGCTAATTTCAGCAGGCTTAATTACAAACAGTTCACATAATTAAACCTCAGTGGTCTGAGCCAAGAGTTATAATTTTGAAACAATCATGTCATGTGACAAAACTGAAATTGCTAATTTCAGAGACAAACAAAAGACAGCACTAGCAGTCTAAATCTTGCAATCCTCCTTCAATCTAGATTCTGCACATTTTCAACCTTGCTGTTTTGTCTATTCATTCAATATATACAAAGAAAAACCAGCACATATAATGCCTCTGGAGAACCCCATTCAACTACACAGAAAGGTAAGATACAGCAATAAGTCTTCTTCTGCTGTTACATCACAAATTTATTAATATGTATATCTATTTTGTTTACGTAGAGAATAGTGTGTATATGCAGTGGTGGATATATACTGTTTGTTGTGTAAAGTCCTGATACAAGTCTATCAAAAGCACGTGGTGGCTGAGCCAATCACCATTTCTCAGCTTCAGCAACTTCTGTTTATCATAGTAAAACTTTCTCTAAAAAGCCAGGATACAGTAGAAAAAGCTCTACTACTTTGCATATTATCAAATGACAACATGTTATACTTCATTTATTTATTTACTTAATTTGTATACCGCTTTTCTCCGCCCAGTGGGAGAAAAGTAGTATACAAAGTAATATAAATTACTTTGTGCATGAAGTCATGATATAGACATATATTGAACCATCTGCAAGAGCAGTATGGTGTAAAACAACTCTTAAAAGTTAAAAAATGAGAAAGCGATGCAAGTGTCCACCCTGAATTTTAGACCATCACTAGGAAAATTGTTTCCTTAAAAATTATTAAGTTTCTGAGTAACTACATCTTTATTTGGGTTTATAATAACATATGCTATCATCGGAAAATTGGCACAATCAGTTTATCGTAGTTCAGATTAGAAATAATTCATTTCTTGTTGCTCAAGGAATAATAATAATAATAACAATAAACAAATAAAACTTTATTTATAACCCGTCCTCTCTCCCCACAGGGACTTGGGGCGGTTTACATAAATAACAAAATTGGCAAACATTCAATTAAAAAAAAACAGATAAACAACAATCAAAGCAAAACATGAAATCAAATACATTAATGTATCTTATGGACAAACTGAAGTCAAGAATTAAACTAAATAAATACAACACATACAAATGATCAAACTGATTAAAACACTATACATTAAAAACACAATGTAATATATCATGTCTGCAAGCTAAGAAAATCACTAATATAGCATACTGCAGCAAGAAAAA